TTCTATTGTTTCTTTCCTCCCAAACCGTCCATAAGATTGCTGCTCTTGTGGTTCTCCATAGCATCTTTCCCCTTTTCTAGGATTGTCTAAAGAAACTTGCTTCAAACAAACTTGTTATATTGGAAGGCGGTCGATCTATTGACCCATTTAACATTTTTTGGTCATTTTTTATTTTAATTTTTTTAATTATTTCTTTTTATTTTTAAGTTGAAACAAATCATCCGTTCAAACGAATAGTCAAACTATCAACCCAAAAACCGATGGTCAAAATGGTAAACGGTTCTACTTTTGGATCAATTTTTAAAACCTTGCATCTAATCATCTTCAACAACACAAATATAAAAAACATTTTTATGAAACCCAATGGCCATTAAAACCAGCCGACAACAAAACTATCGACGATATTAAATAAATAAAAAACATTTTTTACACACAAATATACTAAATAATTCAAACAATAGACATGTTAATACTTGGTTTAACATCCCAATGCAAAAGGCATCAATTTTTTTTCAACTTCCCAATTGATGAATCATGAGTTGCAATGGTGAATTGGATGCCCATGCTGAGTATACTCCGTGAGGGGAGGTCTTTGTCCGCACGATATTACATTCAAATGGGTCTTGATATCCCTACATTAAGAATATTTCCATATAAATTTAACATATATGTATGGAAGAATATTTCCATATGAATTTAACATCTCTTCTGGTATCATATATTTCGGCATCATAGACATATGACTATGGTACCAGAAAAAATTATACCCCACGACATCTTGAGGTTTAAGGCACAACCCGCATGCATGGAAGTCAGTTGTACTGGATCAGGAACGGTGAAAACTGCTGAAAACTTGCTAAAACAATGAAAAATGGTTTCTTTCATTCCAGCCTGCAACCCATTCTTTAGTGCTATGGACGTTGCTCTCTGGAACTCCAGCATTAGATTATATGTAAACGAAGGATGCAGCTACAAAGCCCTCCTCCTCTTTCGCTCAAGGAGATGATCCCACCTGGTGCTTTGGTTATGCTCACACCACTTATTGCTGGAACATTATTTGGGGTGGAAACTCTAGCTAGGGTTCTTGTTGGTTCACTCGTCTCTAGTGTGCAGGCCATTTTTGCACAAGTTGTCAAGGCCTGGGAGGTTCCACCCATGGACATCACAAGCACAAGAATCAAGAATCAAGATAAGAAGATGAGAAAAGGAAGAGAGTCTGGACTACAGTGTACCATGCATGTCGATTAATCAAAATAATTTTTTTCTTTTTTTTTCTCTTATAAGATTCAAGTTCCAAAGGTTGTCAAGAAAAGAAAACAAATTATTTTGTATTTAATTTTAGTTTGGATAAATGGATAAATAAAATTGCAATTTTATTTAATAATTGAGATTTGCTACCAATTGCAATTAAATTACAAGTTATTTGAGATTTGTAACCAATTTAAATTCTAGGTTATTTTTGCAAGTGTAAAAACGCTGCCGCTAGAAAAAAAAAAATCATTGCTGGTTTATAGCGGTAGTCGGTTTACGGTTTACCCATTTAGCGGCAATTTTAACTTGGCACTACAATTCTGATGTCAAGCGGCAGTTTTTAGCAACACCTGTTTTAGCGATTATTGGTAAATGTTTTAGCAGTAGTTTTAAAGTCTTTTGACTGTCACTAAAAATCATTTTTCTTGTAGTGATTAAAAGAAGCATTGGAGTTCATCTATAGCATACCTGTAAAACCCGAGCTAGTGTATGGGGTGCTTTGCTTGGTGCTTACAAGATCCATTGAGACCTAGAAACTGTTGAGTATGTTGCCAATCATCCTTTTGAACTTAAGCCCCATGCTGCAGTTTCATATGTGGCAATGGCTAACATCTATGCAGATGAAGAGAGGTAGGATAGTGTGGCAGAGATGAGTTTGCGCCCCACAACGTCCCACAGCACATCCCCATCGTGTATTGAGAACATCTTGCGGTGATAATACTGAAACCAATGATGTCATCATCGGGAGATATTCCCAATACATGGCGAAAATGTACTGTGGGATGTTGTGGGGTGCAGATGTAAACTCGGCGGAGATGTACTATGGAACGTTGTGGGGCGTCCCCTTGGAGTCACATTTTGTGGACCATTTGCTTTTATTATGAAAATGTTGATAAGGAAACCCAAGGAGAGATTAACTTTTACATGGTCCAGCATATGGTTATACAAACAGAAATGGAACGGTGAACCAGGAGTCATGTAGCCAAACCCATATAGTCAGTACAAGGTTTAGATTATGATGATGATATATGGAGGTGTTTGGTACAGTGGCATTGCATTGCCCTTGTGTTTTGGGTTAGATTGTTTTATACAAATTTGTTGTACTTCTCGCACATGCATTTTTTAGGCTGAATTTGGAAGGAGTGCAAATGCAAAAATGTAGAGCGCAAAGCCTTATATTTTGTATGTATTTATGCTGTACATATTTGCATTTGTACTGCTTCCAAATTGAGCCTTAGTTGAAATGATACTCATGTATGATGTAACTACAAAATGTTGAAAGTTCTTTGCAGAAAAATTTGGCATTCCAATCTACACCACCCAGCAGATTAGAGACCACATTTTAGATTGGTGGAGCTAGCACTTGCAACAATAACTCCCGTCGTAGCTAGGTTCTTAGGGTGTTACCTTCGGTGCTACTATGGGAAGTTTGAGCAGAAAGGTGTAGAAGAACATATGATGGCAAGTCTAACTCCACAAATCAGATAATCCAAACGCATCATAAATTGGCTTGTTGAAATTGATACAGTTACTTCATTACCCACTTCCGAGGATGCAAATGATTGGTGGAGGATTGATTTTCCAATTCCACCCAAGTCCACCAATTCAAAGTTGTATGAATGGGTAATGCGGCAAGTTCCTTCATGTGGCAAGGTAAAACTAAATACTGATGGTGCATGTCAAGGAAATTCCGGTGTAGGAAGTGGGGGAGGCTTGATTCGTGATGATGAGGACAGGTTTCTTAAAGCTTTCTCAGGTCCTTATGCTATTTGTACCTCTCTTCAAGCAGAAATTAAATCTCTTCAGGATGGAATTAATGTGTATTCAATATGGTTATCTTATTATCGAGGTTGAATGTGATAATTCTAGTGGCAAGCCTCTTCAATTCAGTCTCTATTCCATGGAGTATCCATTATTGTGTAGTTGAAATCAAAAGGCTCCTTAGCTCCTGCAATTACCCACTAAAGCATGTGTATCATGAAGGTGGATTAGACTGAAAGGACAAAGGTTGAGAGATTTGTATCTTGAACTTAGGGCAAGGTGGGGCTAAGTTCTCCCCTGTAAAAGTTTTGATGGTAAGTAAGTACACCTTATAAAATGTGGACCAATGCAAAATAAATAGATCATGGATTAGGCTAGGCCGGACAGGGCTTTGTGCCTATACCATTAAATACATTATATTTAATATTCATAATATATATATATATATATATATATATATATATATATATACCAGGTAAGATCGTGGTAGCAGCATTTCCCTGCAACCTCCAATTAAATGCAGATGGCTGGCGTAATATCAATTCATCACTCGGAGATCATAAACTTAGACACAAGTTGATGGTCTACATAATTCATATTGACCATGTTATCCCTCATCTCCTCCACATGACTGGATCAAACAGCAAGGTGTTCACTATTTTCTTAAGTCTTATCAATTCCGCATTAAGTAGTAAGAGTAATTATACCTTGTGAGTTTATATATTTCTACTCTCTATCAATGCGTATGTTTCTTGTATGCGTGCTCTTATCCTTGCCAAACACCCCAAATACATGGTTATGTACTTACGTTTGGTGGCAAAATTTGCTTTCCTTACTGTGATACATAATTGGTTTATTATTAGGAGAGTGATGGATTTATTCTAAGAGACTGTTTGGGAGGGCTTTTTTTATAATTCGATTTTGGTTTGTTTTTTTTTTTAATTTGATTTTAAATTTTTGATATATTCGATTTGGTTTTTAACGAATGCTTACCCCTATCGAGCCGCATTGATTGAGCAGTTTCACCAAAAAGTTGATTTCTCAACTCAACGATCATATATTTTGGCTTTCCGGGCTTTCACCAAACACAGCTTCCAGGCTTTCCATGTAAGGCCGACCTTGCAATGCCGGAAGCCGCCGGAGAAAAGCCCTCCCAAATGGGCAGCATGCTTACATGAAGCCATGCAATTTAAATCTTGTTACCAACCAACCCCTTGTTGTATTTCGCTGTCATAGCCACACATGTTGGGAGAAAATTGGGCGATAAAATGTAGAGTTACATCCATTAAAAGCTTTGGGCAGTTCATTTAAACTGGAAGCTGATTCCTCACGTTCAATGCAGGTATTCAATGTTTTCACTCACCCAAGAAAAGAATTGTGGGTATTCAATGCACAAACTAAATGTTTGTCCACGTGAATTCCCTTATGGACACCTTCCGTTTATAAAAGAAAAAATTTTGAAATTCAAATTACAATAAATGGACAAATAAATGGGGTGGCGGGAGTTCTTACTAATCGGGTGCAATATTGACCCGGACCATCTGCCCTGATTAGGGTGCAATTCGGGTACCCAGTTTCAAGAATTTACAGCACGGCCCAAATCTCTATAAACGGCTCCAAGCCTCCAACAGTCCAACTAAGGATTTGGGTTCATTCAAAATTGAACAAATACCCAAATCCAACCGGACCCAATTATCACCCGCACCCCCTAGACAGGATAACGTTACCGCCAATCGGGTTGAGTTACGGGTAATCTAATTCATACACTTTGACTCGAACCGGCAAATGACTGTTGCCACCCCTAACCACAAGAGATCCGAGTTTGTTGAGTCCCCCATCTTTTTCATTTTTTGCTAAAGTTTTGATTTGATTTGGTTGACGCAGCAGAACATGTGAAGCCTTTGAAACATGTACCCGTGGATCATGTGAGTTGCATCAGAAGTACCTCACTCGTTCATTTAATACAGAAACCGTTTTCCATGATTCCATCTCTCAATATATTTGCATGGTCCCGGCCGGCCCGAATCCCTCACTTGGGCTTCTCTTTCTAGACGTTGCGTCTTTCCGTCATTGAATTCTCTCGAAGCTGTGTGTCGTGCAGTTAGTTGCTAGAAGAAGAAACATGAACAAGTCCTTCACTCTTGGAGCCCATACGGCCTTCCTTGCTGCACTTCTTCTCTCTCTTCTTTCTGTTGGTCGAACTGTCCGATCGCCAACCCTTTCTGGTAATAAGCTCTCTCTCTCTCTCTCTCTCTCTCTCTCTCTCTCTCTCTCCATTTTCTTACTTCTAGCTATGTGCTTTTGCTAGATGTTCCTGTGCGTTTCAATGGTCAAGGCAGCTCTAGTCTGATCTCCAAGGTTTGTTCCTGTTTTCTCTAATTAAGGAGATGGGTTTGCTTAATTTTCTCTTGCTCCATTCTCATGCATATTGATGATCAAAGCTTACTGGGTTGGGAATAAGTCTTAGTTGAGGAGAGAAGTAGAGATGCAAGAGAGGCTTTCATAGGAGTAGGATTCATCATTAATGTGTTTGTCTTCTCTGAAGAAGCAGTTTTAATAGAAAGTGCTTTATGTGGAAGTCAGAGCCACAAAGCACTTTCTAATTAGCCATGACTGAACTGAAGTTTACTAAGCAAGGATTGAATTTATTACGGTTGTTTTGTTGTGTTAAATGTGTAGGAAGGAGGGAAGGAGGAGATACAAACGGAACTGTATCCAACTGGGTCGAGCTTACCTGACTGTTCCCATGCATGTGGGCCGTGTTTTCCCTGCAAGAGAGTGATGGTGAGCTTCAAGTGCTCCACTGTGGCAGAGTCTTGCCCCATTGTCTACAGGTGTATGTGCAAAGGGAGATATTATCACGTTCCTTCAAATTGATACACGTCTCTCTCTAGTTATGTATTGTATGTAAATAGTTGGATGAGGCTTTGCAAGACTGTTGAAGTTGAGAAGAACATTTTTTTTTTACTTGGAGGGGATAGATCTCCCAATCTTTTGCTTTTACTTTTTTGTATGGTTGAAAAGGTTGTTCTTGTTTTTTCTCTCTTTTTTTCCTGAAATCTATAACTTCATTCAACTCTACCTGAGTGATCAAGTTATTTCCCAAATCGTTTTCAATCATCATTGTAATTCTCGAAATTCTTCAAGACAACCATAAGATTATACATATCTTGCCCTAAAGAATTAAGGGTCTATTTGGTTTACAATCTGAATTGGAATTGGAATCGGAATAGTCTATTCTCATAGTTTGTTCGGTTCAGACAGGAATGAGATTGGAAATTGAAACTAAATGGAATAGAATTTCATTCCCAAGGGATGGGGAGGGAATTACCATTCCCTTAAATGGGGGAATGCCATTCCATCAGGAATGAGAATAGGATTGGATTCTGCCCAACCAAACAGTTGGAATTGGAATTGACTCAAATTCCAATTTTGGACCCTTATTCACATAAACTAAACAGACCCAAAAATTTGCCTTTAACATGGTGACAAGGTCTTAATTTCACCATAACTTCATCACATTTTGATTTTGATTTTGTTTGATGTAGAAAGAAATTGAAACGATTTTTAAATATATATACTAGAAGGGACCCATGCAATGAAGAGATCCCATAAATTCATCACAGTGGTCTTAGGACAACCCAAGGCCCTTCAATAAAATGTAAATACATCAGTGTTTGAAAGAGAAAACAAAACATTACATCAACTAGTGTTTGGTTTAAAATACTACGCGTCTGCATTTCATTGGGGTCACATGAGACCACGTTGCAATATATCAATAGCCTCCCGATTACAACGGGTTTTTTGGGGTCTGACCTGGTTCAGGGGGTAGAGGGGCCTTAAATCTATCCCTCTGAACTAGTTTGAAAAATAAAAACTAAAATATAAAAAGATAAAAGCGAGCCTTGATACAGGCCGATATGCCCCAATTGACATATTGGCAACCTATATCGATATTTTGAACCTTGATCAAATTTTTATAATTTTTTTGTAAAAGTAAAAAAACATTAAAATAAAATTTATTGGATTAGATCAAACATGCTCATAGCCATTTTTTTAGTTTATTCAAGCCTTATTCACCAAATTTAGATAAAACTTTGATTAGCTATGGAAATTGAATATCATTAGTAAATTAAACTGAAAATATTCAGAATATTATATATTATGTTAATAAAACAAACTAAAAAACTTAATATTGTATATCATAAATACAATAAATTTTATGTGATTTGATTTTACAACTCCTTATTTAAATATATAAAATTCAAACCAACTTTATTAATAGATAGATATTGCTTCTGTATAAGTGTAAATTTAAACATTTAAATAGCATGGATTCAAATCCAGAACTCATTGTTTTAATGACTGAAAGAATTTGCAGAGCCGATAAAATTTAGAACCTATTTTAATCATTTTGATAGCTTATGCATTCCCCAGTATACAACACTGAGAGGCCTGTGACTGGGGATATCAACAGCATGGTTTTCAAAACCCGAATGGACTGGAAAAACCGGAAACCGGTTAGGTGATAGTTCCATTTTACTCTAGAACTGTTATTTTCCCAAAAACTGTTGATTTGGTCAGTAAACCGTTAATCCATGTGGTTGAACTATTTGAATCGTTCAACGGTTTGGCTAGTTTTTTTTTTTTTTGTTAGAACGGGGCCGTCCATTCAGTTCGAACGATTGGACTGTTTAACCTGGCAACCGGACCCCTGACTGGTTCGCTGTCCGATTCAATTTTATAAACCTTGATCAACAGGGAATTGGAATCTACTCCTCACACTGACCTCACAGTCACATCCCACCGTATAATGGAGAACATCCTCATGAATAATAGCATACAAGAATAAGAGATGTTCCCGATGTACCACTGATACATGCTATGAGGTCGATGTGAGAAGCGTTCTGTGAAGAATAGATCCGGATTCATCAACAGGTTGTATGTATTCGGTACGGGATTGGTTCAACTTGGGCCTGACTCGAATTAATACCAACCTAATTAAAGTCCTGAACCTGACCACCTAAATAAATGGAGAGGGGTTATCGAATCCATGATACAAAGTACACTTGCACTCAATCAAGCTTATATAAATATGAATATTTCAATGCTGTAATGTCAGTAGGTTGAGTTTAGTTCACCTGAACCTGAAACCCAATTAAGACTGACCAGATCTTAACCCAATAGGATCGGATCAGTACAGGTTTACCACTTAACCGGACCCAGCACTGGCACCTCTATCCGTGATCAGAAGTAAGATTGATTTAGGGGGCCATTTGGTAAGGGCCGAATTAGTTGAACTGAATGGCTTGTCTCTTTGTCTTCTATAGATTTGTAATAAGTAGAAGTCGAACTCCTTAATGGATGATAAGGTGTTCTGCTCATGACTTATTAACCTAAAGATAAAGGCATAAAGCAATTAACCCCTCAAGGCATTATCCATTTTTCGACCCGTTATCAAAATTTTAAAAGAGTTTAGTTTGGGAGGGTGTATAAAGTATAAAACATTGGTTGGGCAGAAACTTGATAAGTGGTCTATATAGAAATAAGATTCAATATCATAAATAATCCTTATGACTGTTTGTTTGCAGTGCAAATCTGAATGAAGTACAAATTTGCACCAGGTTCAACTATGCATCTAATACAAAGCTTTGTATCAGGCATGATTCAATGTATTGGGCAAATCTGAATGAAGCACAAGTTTTGTATCAGGTATGATTTATGTTCATACCTGATACAAAAAATATACTTTTGTCTTATTTGCATTTATTAACAGTGCAAATTTTGTATCTCAAAAACTGCTACAAAATTTGTTCCACCTTCCTCCTATCTTGATTTTCTCTCATATAAAATGTGGATCATATCATCTTGTTTCTACCACACTCCCAAAAAATTTACTTTCTTCCTATCTTCATGATCTTTCATATAAAACAAAGTCAAATCTAAAGTAAAAAGTAAACCAAAACTTTGCACTCCATATACTTGCACAATTCGCACTACAAACAAACTAATCCTATAGATTATTTGTTTTATTAGTTAATAACTTGATCCATGATCCACGAAATGTTGGAAAATTTTTGAAATCCCAATTGCAACCAGGAAAACCTGATTTCCTTAGTCCAACACTAAGCAACTAATTTTTATTTTCTGTTTTTTATAACACAGAAAAGTTACCATTGAAATATCACCAAACGCCACCGAAACTGTTCAAAAACGTCATGAACTCAAAAAAAAAATTCAATATGGTTTTTTCAACTTTGTGCCAGGAAAATATGCAATTTCTTTTTCACAAATGTGCCAAAACATAGCGAAAGAAGCATCCGGATATGGCTGAACTGAATGATTTGTCACTTTTATCTTTTAGTATATGTTTGGCATTAATGCTGCAGATGCAGCACGGTGCTGCTGATGTGTGGGCTAGCATCGTTTTCTCAGGAAACAGTGTTTTTTTTTTTTGAAAACGTTGCTGTTAGGTAGGACGTTTCTTGGAGCAACAACAACATTTTCTATTTGGTACCAATGCTCCAGGAAACGTTTTCAGCATTGGTACCTATTATCCAGTGCCACATCATATCCCTGTCACTACCACCTCATGTCCCTATTGGCAGCAATGAGTTGTAGCTTCAGAAAATGCCAAATTCAACGTTGCTCTAAGCCATACATTCCCGATTTTCAAGGCATGGCTTGAAGTACTATTTTTTATGGAAAATAGTTACAAACAGACAGACATTTCCTGAAACACCATTTTTTTCCGATGTGGTGCTGATGTGTCCCCATTTTCTGGAGCAATGGTATCGATGCCAAACAAACACAATGAATTGTGGAGGGAGGGAGTCAGGGAGGTTTGAGATCTACAACAGTTGAAGCTGAAATTTGGTTGATTACCATATCCACTGTTTTGAAAACCAGATCCAATTGGACGGTTGAACTGTTTAACTCAGGAACTAGTCAATTGTCTGATTCTGTTTTATGCTTGACTCAAAAAAAAAATCGTTAATTGATCACTGAACAACCTGGATCAAGGGCCGATCTATTCAGACTGGACGGTTGAACCATTGACTTAAAAACGAGTAGAAAAATGGTTCCATTTTCAGGTCAATTTTTAAAACCTTAACTATATTGCATTAAATGTTTTTATTATTTAATTATTTTATTTGCCGAAAGAAAAAACAATAAATTATTATGTTTAGTCACTTCATCCTTTAAGAACTTAGGATGACATCCAATGCACTGACTGAAGTCGAGTTCCTCCCCAAGAGCATGGTTCAAAGTATAGGAACGAATTCCAATTTATAAATTATTGGAATTTTTAGACAGCACTCCACCTCAGAATTCTGATTTGAACTGCAGATCTACAACAATTCAAAATTATAAACAGCTCCACCTATAACATTCATACCTGCCCATGAATTAGCATCAATTCCAAGATGGCACCTTACCCACCCCACCTGTACGATGGAGCTAGGAATTCTGGGGGTGGACTGAACAGTAAAAACCCCATTATTATTTTAGTTTTTTTTTCAAAAATCAAGGATAAGTTGTAAACCTCTCTGCCCCATGAAAACACCAAAATACTCAAAAATATTTTATATTTCTACATGTCATATTGTGTTGAAATTTTAAACCCTAATTGAAATATTAAAACAAAGTCAGACTTTTTATTTATTTATCTTTTTTAGTTTATTTTAATCAGCAAAAAAATCCAGAAATTATTGAATGCATTGATCAAACGTGTAGCTGCAAGCATGCAACATTGTAAAGAAGCATGGTCCTTGTCCTATGAAACATGAATGTTGTTTTTAATTATAAAGGTTGTTGGATTTGTCAATCTTGTTTTATTATTTCTCTTTCTAATTTACACAGAATGAAATTTGCTTATTTGCAAAGCATAGAAGGAAAAAGTAAAAAACTCCACTCCTACGTATTACATCTTGGGCTTGGGAGAGCAACCCCACTGTAATTTTTCCTTTCTCCCCTTTATAGGCTGATTGTATGAGGACTCACAAATGGATGGATGGATGGGTTTGAAATGAATGTGAATTGAAGACCAACCCATATCAACCATCTATTCACCCATTAAA